TCAGTGATTAGTTTGGTGCAGCCCTAATCCTGGCAGCCTGAATAAGACAAAAGGGGCAGAAAGACACTGCTAACCTCCCTAGTTGTCTTTGCTACTTTTTGCTCGCCATGTTGTTTCTCCTCTGCGATGCCTGTTTGCCATCCCAGCCTTGAGTCAGTGGCTTATGGACTGAAACCTCAATGAACAGTAAGCCAAATAAACCCCTTCCCCTTTAAATTTTGGTGCTGGGTATTTTGTCTCAGAAATGAGAATGCAACCTACTATAGTTTATAAAGGATCAGAATAGATAAGATCTTTATAGGAGTGGAGAGAGAAGAAAAATATTGAAGAACGATTTTCCAGAAGCACATTTAAGAAAAAAAGAAAAGGGGAGCCCTCCAAAGAGACGCAGAGTGGTCATTGATTGAGAACTATTAGATGCACAGTGTATATTTAGAATATTTTTGCAGGTGGATTTGTGGATTTGTAGATTCTGGAAAGATTGTAAGGTAAATATAAAAAATCACAAATACTTGGAAAAATCTATTGCAGTAACTAAAATAAATTATTTAGGGTATTCATCATTTATAATTAAATACAAGACATTTTCTTTTATAGTGCGTTACTTCAAGCTAGAAATACAAAGTAAATAAAGACACTCATATTTGGAACTGAAAAGTATTGTGCAATGGTTATTTTCACAAGTATTCAGGTACAAGCTGAGTATGATAGTTCACACACAACTTTAGGGCCCGCACTCTGGGAGGCTGAGGCATAAGGATCACAGGTTCAAGAACAGCCTAGGCAATTTAGCAGCATACGGAGACCCTATCTCAAAATTTAAAAACAAATTTATGAAAGGGTCTGGGGATGTAGCCAGCGTGGAGGGTCTGAGATTAACCTCCAGTACTGCACTCACTTCTCTTTGGTTAGGCTTTGGTTTCATTTAAACTTATAATTTAACAGTGAATCTGGGAAAGTATGGGCAGGATGAGGAGAGTTTAATGTGCATAATAAGCAGGAATGGTAGAGTATTTCAGTTTTCTAGAACAATAGTACTTTTTTCCCAAACTCTATTGCTCAGGTCAATGCAATAATTTTAAAAGCATGTTATTGTGTTATTTGGATCTTCTTGGCTTGATTTTATCATCTGACTCCAAGGCTAGTCCAACTTGACCCATGTTCTCTGCTCAGGATGTGGCAAAAGAACAGAGCCTGTGCTAGTACAGTTTATACTGAAAGAGTCATGAGAGTCCAGGAGACTCAAACCCTTCCTGGAATTCATCTATTTCATGTCCTGTCAAGTCCACTGCAGTATTCATAGATGTTCAGAATTTCTCTGTTGCTCCTGACTCCAACATCTATAAAACAGCTGCACAGATTAAGCAGTGCTATCTCCTGAGTAAGTACAAATGATTAACAGCTAATAAGTGTTCACCAAAGGGAATTAAAGTTGTCTTTTCATACTTCAGAACCACTGGCCAGAAGATAATCTCTTGGCTAACCATTTCTACAGGCCCAATCCACTAGTCCCCTCTATATTCCCTTAATTCTCTGGATGCACTATAAGAGACTTGGCACAAAATTTTCATTTTTGTTTAATACCTCTTCTATTCAAGTTCTGACAAACATATGGAAAGGTATTTCCAATGTGTAAGAGAATAACTAATAGGTAGCATTACTTTCTAAATGTTGAATAAATGTAAGGATTTTATATGATAATTTGTGTGTGTGTGTGGGTGGGTGGGTGTGGGTGTGTGTGAGAGAGAGAGAGAGAGAGAGAGATGGTGTCTCAGTACATAGTTCAGGCTGGTCCTGAACTCACTATGAAGCCCAGGCTAACCTGGAACTCACAGCAATCCTCCTGCCTCAGCCTCCCAAACTCTGAGATTAGAGGTGTTCACCACCACACCTGGCTAAGATATTTAAAATATGGTATGACATCAAGGTTTGCAAATACATCTGCAATAATTAAGTTTATGAATTCATATAAAAAGCATACTATTAAATATAATTAAATAAAACAAATCTTTAAACAAATACTTAGTATTTTTAATAAAAAACAGGGCTGAGAACTAGGGATGCAGAGAATTATTAGAACACTAACCAAGAACATTGACTTGAATTACACCAATAACTATAAAAAACCAGAAAGGGTAGTTTTCTCTCACTACATCTTATGTATTATCTTGGAAAGACTCAGAAAATAAGATTTTAAAACAAAAGGAAATCTCATTTTTTTTCACAAAAAATTATTGACCTTTTCAGAGACACTTTAACAATGTTTCTAAATACACACTCATGGTAAATGTCAAAGCATGGAGCCTGCTTTTACCCTGTTATTGTTCTATATCTCAGGGACAAATGATCTATTTGGATGAGATGGCCTCATGCCAGTGGAGATTAACTGATGTTGACTCCAAAGCAGAGCAACTTCAGTGGTAGTGATCATTCCTGGAAAACATCTGCTACCAGCTGAGTGTGTTTACATTTTGGCAGCCGGGGCAGATGTGCTTTTAGTCAGCCCATCTGCGTGGTCTGTGAGGCTGTGTCTACGGAAGCAGGGCAGATACTCAGCAGGGAGTGAGTGGACCATAATAATCCAGGATGCTCCAGAGAATGCAAATTGCACCTCAGAGTGATTTTTTTCTTTCTGTGCTACTAAAAGCCTTAAGAATAACAGATTTATGTGTATTACCTAGAATGAACAATATTGTTTAGTAGTACAGCTACTCTTAGAAATGTAGCTAGAGCACATAAATATTGTACGAAAGAATAATCATTTCCATAAATTTATATAAGAAATATATGTTTAAATATTTCTCATATTTAAAAATATTATAAAAATATTACTTGACTAGCAAACAGCAAAATAAATATCAGTTGTGCAATTGAAACATTAATTTACTTTTTAATTTTTATTATAAGTATTAAAATAATGTTCTTTAGGGCTGGGGATTTAGCTCAGCGGTTCGGTGGCCTGCCTTGCAAGTGCAAGGACCTGAGTTTAATCCCCGGTACCAAAAAAAAAATTTTTCTTTAGACATTAATTTCATAGCTAACAGAAGTTGTTTTAAAGAGTAACTATGGCTTTTAAACAACAGAAATTTCTCCATTTATAGAAAGATCCCAGTTGTCTTATAAAGTTAATTTTCTGAATGTTCAAGATCTCTGGATATGGCATTTAGTGAATGTGTCTTTTTGGAGCTTATCATGGACCACTGCTCTTTTGTGTTTGAGAAATTTCACCTTAGAAGCTGAGTCATGAATTACCAACCTGAGAAAAAATGAATAATTAAATAGCTAGATTTATATTGGCATTTAAGAATTTCACATAGGTAAATATTTGGAATTCCAGTAAATAAAGAAGTCAAGCAATCAAAATTTTTCATCTTTTAAGAATAAATCAATAATTTTCTTCTATCCAGTGTGATCTGTTTCACATGGGCTTAGGTACAAAGATGACAGCACATAGGTAAGGTCACAGAAATGCTCCTAAATTGAAAATTCGTTATCTCCCGCCCCCAATGGAGAAAGCGGGGGAAAAAAATCAGTATCAAATTGATAGGCTTAGCCATCTGCAGATGTTTAACCTTAAGAGACTTCTGTAAATGGTTGCTAATGGAGATGAATGAAACTCCCCAGTGCAATCAAAATATTTGGAAAGAAGCCTCAGCTTTGAAATGACTATAATGCAATGAAATTTGTGACACATAAAATAAGACTCTACCATCAGAGGAAGCCGATGTATGCACACATGTGTAGATAGAGAGCAAGAACTGGGAGGTTTATCTAGCACCTTCATGGAACGGATGCTGACCTGGAAGGGACTGATATTCTTGATATTAGATAGGTTAGCACTGCTTCAAGGCACAGATCTTTTACAGACTTTCTAAATTCAACATTCTTTCTACCTACTTACCTATACTTCTGACCTGTGCTCATTAAATAGCCAGTTTGCTACCCTCGTTTCCGAGGAAAGTTTTGCCCATTAAGTGGAGGTAGCAGCAAAATGTGATAGTTAAAGAGGGTGAATTCAAGTCCTGGTTCTTCTACTTCTGAGATGTTTGGCCTTGGGCACATTATATAATCCTTCTTTTCATCTAATCTGTAAAATTAGGGCATTTGTAGGGCCTATCTCACAGATTAGTTATGAACATTAAACACACTTGCTCTCTATAAAGCACTCAAAATTGTGTTTGGCCCAGAGTACAGATAATTTAAATTTTAGTGACTTGTCCCCACAAATTTTTAGGGTACTGTCAGCAAAATTTCAGTTTGTTTTACATTAACAACAGTATAGATCCTAGTAAATTTTATTAGTTTGATTCAGCCACCCAAACAAAAGCAAAGCTTCTTGAAAACTTAAATCAACTATCTGCAGAGTCTGTGTTTAATCAAATGAAAGCTAGCTTTTGATACCTGCATTTTAAATTGTACTGCATAATGTAAGGAAAGGCAATGATAATGCAATTTATTGTTGCATAATACATGTGATATATATATATATATGTGTGTGTGTGTGTGTGTGTGTGTGTATTGAAGCAAATGAAAATACTATGTCACTTTTCATTCTATTAAAATTAGTAAAATAGTAGTGTGTTATGATTTTTATGCATTAAAAGTGAAAAATTTTTAAAATTTTGGTCCTTTTTGGTTAAAAGACTACCATTTGTGTAATGCTTCATTCCCCAAACCATGAGCAGAATGTCCCCCGCACAAGAAGCACCATGAAGGAATTTACAATGAACACAGGAACGTTCATATTGTGTGTATTCTGTTGCTCATTCTTTGAAATAAATGACTAGCCTAACTGTGGACGACTGGGGCTAAGGAGGGGGGAGAAAGTACTATTAGAAACTTGTCTAAAATCATTGCCCCCATTTTCCTATAAAGTGAAATCAGAGACGTCTATGTAAGAGATGAAAGATTGAAAAAAGGTTTTGATTTATTTTACAATTTTACAAATGATAAAACAATAATATCCAATTGCTATACATAAACAATAGGGAAAGCAGCTTGGAACAGAATGAACCAGACATAATAAACCTCATCTTTTAATTTCACAAATGGTGTAAGAAATGCTCAGTAGCAATTATCCTGTGCAGCAATACTAGCTCTGTAAACTCTTTTTTTCCTGCTATATACATGGAAACAATTGTGCTTTTGCCTACACACAGAAACAGTATTTATTAAAAGGTGCTACTTAAATGAGAAACACAAAGCCTAGAGCCCCAATCTGAAAACTGCAATTCAAATGCATTGCCAACTTGAAGAGTTTTTTCTTTTTTCATTTCTTTTTTTTTTCCCCTTATGGTTTGGACATACTGTCCCTTATTATAACTACGGATATGAACAGCACAAAATTCAGATATAAAGTAGAACTCTCTTAGAGCAGATTTCTAACAGAAGTCTCAAAACAACTTCCTTATTCTAAAGTGGTCTTATCTCCAGGGTGGTTCACAGTGCAGACCCTGAAGATATGAGCATAACACAAATCTAGTATGTAATATTACAGACTCAGTGTGCATACACACAGATACACATATATAACATTGTATATATGCATGACACAGGTCTATTTGTACTATATAGATATATCTATAGCACATATATAATAAAATATCTATTTCTAGGTGGGTTTTATTTGGATTTTCTTGTATCAAATACAAACAATAACCCTCACTCAAATTTTAAAACAGTGGTAACTTGATAATATGTGATGGAGAAACTTCCACCCTTTAGAGAGAACATCTAACTATGCACAACTTTTCATACATCTCTTCCACAATTATAGAGAGTCCTTACAAAAACCACATGAAAGCAACCCTTTTATGAACCAAACACCACATCATGTGTATTTTGACAAACTGACTCAATGGAAATAAATTACTTTCTTCAGTCTTTTCCTGTGTATTAGCTTAGGAACTAGTTGGTATGTACACTACCGCTAGCATTATTTAAATAAATGACATCTGTAAGCACATATGTAGAAATCCCCATTAACAATTGGTACACAATTCATGTGATTTACAACACATGAAGACATTGGAATACCCGGCACCTTCTTTCAGATAGAAAAAAACAAACTTCCACAGTAGTTTCTGCAGTCTTGTGGGCTGAATCATTAGATTTGCCCCCAAAAATCTGTTACTGATTATTATTTTTTTAAATTTCAGCAACTTCATTACTGAACAGGCTAAGGAACAATGATGGAAATGTTTCCCAGGTCTATTCATGTCAACAGCACAGTAGCAACCGCATTATCTAAAGGACAGGAATATTTCATAATCTGCTGTCTGAGCAGGGTTAAATCATGAAAAGATGAAAAAAAATTAAAGCTGTAAATATATGATATTCTCAAAAGAAAAAAAAACCCAAATACTTCAAGTATGCATTCATAATTTTATTCTGTTCTGATCCTTTCTGCCCATTGTTTGTTAAAACTCAAATCTGTTTACTATCCTTGCTGTTGCCTTCAATGATCTCCGTGAAGTGCGTCTCTCACTAAGAGAAGGCCACAGAGGATGCTGAACAGAAGAGCGGGTGGCATGGTTTACACCAGGGAATGAAATGGTCTTGTATAGTTTGTCTTCTTTGAACACTAAATAACTTTAATTGAATTCACTCGAGTATTGAGAGTTCCCTGAGATGAATATAAGTAGTCTCAGTCAATACTGAAGCCCTTTTTTATGCTGAACACTTTCTGAACTGGGCGAGTATTTAGAGAATGCAAAGCATAGGGTAACAAAGTAATGTGAAGAAGCTAAAAAGGCACTACCCCATGCAGCTAGGCGATAAATTGCACAGTGCACAGAACAGTGAAAGGTTGAGACGGATTTGCTGTGGCCTTAAAATACAGTAAAAATGGCAAGAGACTGCACATAACTGCTGCTTTTAAAGACACACTTTGAAAGAGTGTCAAGTTAAATTTTATGTATAAGAATTTACTTGTGACTCAGATTTCTGTTAAATTCAAGTTAAAGGTGACTAGATACAGCAGCTTATCTACACATAGTCCAAACAAAGATTCTATAAACCGCCTACATTTCATTTGTTAAGTAAATCAGACTATTCAACTTTACATTCAAATCATGTAACTTTCTCTGAAAAGTTCCAATAGATAAGATGTTTCATGATAAAGTATATTAAGGTTCTATTTATTTTCAGCTGTGGATCTTCCATTATGCATTTTTCTTTGCTTTCTTAGAGAAACATGAATTTTTCACAAAATATCAACTTCTGTATCCCTGTGTTCTCATATACAGTATTTTTAAAAAATAATACCACATATTATTTAAAACATTGAAAAGTGTACTACAGTGGATGTCCTTTCTCATGGTAACATTAATATATATGCATGAATATATATGCACATATATATAGTTTTAATTTATTTCTCAGACTTCCTTCTCTAAGAAATAAAACATGCACATTTCTCCTGCTGTTTCTTCTGTTCTCAGATTGCCTTCACCAAGAAACAAGAAGCACACAAGTTGTTTCTGGGCAAAGAAGAAGTAAGAACACAGTGCTTCTGCTTTCTAATGAAACAATTTACATCAGAATTACCTCCCAGGACAGTATGTTACCAGAAAACTGTCTAATACTGTTATGTATTAAATTGTTTTAAATCATTTTATGAATCAATTCATTTTTCTTTTAAACATACACTCACTGATAATGTGACTATTTCACTACAGAATGCTACAGGCAAATCGAATATATTTTAGGTGCAATTTATTGACACAGCTTCAATGTCGAATGTCTTAATATTAATAATCTCTGCTATGAAAACAACACTGTCTTAATCATGTTATTTCTATACTAAGTATTTTAATAAAGATATAAACTGTGTGCCAATGTTTGCATTTGAATAACAGGGGGGAATACTTAAGAACCAGAAGTCAAAAGTCAGCTGTATCAATCAAACATTTATTCTAAGGGAAAAATGTTCCCATAAAGTTATGAAATGTAAAAGGTATAGAAGTTCTCCCTTCAATAAAAATAAAATGAGATTTTGGAAATTTCAAAATGTTTAGAGACAACTTTTACATTAGTGGGATGATAACATATTCAGATAAATAACAAACTATTTTCAAAAAAGAAGAACAGTTTGCTGTATCGAAACATGAATATAATCTTTGGTACCACAAGTACAATTTTGCTAATTTTACGATCTCAGATGATGTGAAACTTCTTTGTTCATTACTACTGATGGGTACAGATTAGCGGGTACCTTTTACACCACTGAAAAGTAATCTGGAGTTTTAAAGTTGTGCAAAATAAAACTTCAAAAAATCTTTATGTGGTTGCTTTTTAAAAAATATAATAAGACCTTAGAAATCATTACTTGACTTTTATCTTCCTCATTCATATGTGTTTCCTATTTGTGTATCTCAGAAAAGATTTCTAAGCACACAATATCCCAACCAATAAAATTCTAGAAGACAAAAACAAATACAAGCAAAATCCATGATCAGACTCAGAGTCCTGGCTGAAGGCATTTACTTGAGTTGTTATTCTCATAAATCCCACTGCTCGAAATGTTTACATCTTGTTTTCTGCTGACAAGGATGGTTTAATTTCCCAAGGGCTGAGCTGTGTTTCCAGGTTCCTCTTCCAATGTGCTTGGCATTGAATCGGCAGCTCGACAAATGAAGATTATGTTTTCTTCCTTAATTAATGATAAGTGCATTGTTGGATCTTGTAAACACTACTGATTATACATTCAAACTGTATTCTTAGTGGAAGTGGCACTTACTAGGACCCTTGAAGTCACAATATTTAAGTTTTGGAGCACTTTGCAGGTATTTCATTAGCTGGTAGTGGATTTCACATGAGCTTCCTTCATCAACCTGTCCGTTCATTTGTGAATGCTTAAACCCAGCTCTGTTTTGGATCCTATTTTCAAACCTTCAGAAGCATCTTCAGAAATGAAGTGCATATTGAGTTTGTTTGCATGTTTTACAGTGTGCTTTATTGCTTTATACACTTTCCCGTTGTCAGTTTCAGAGCTCCTCTATTATGTAGCACATTCAATGTTTTGAATTCTAACGGCATTCTGTGAGGGCTTGCGTTGGAAAAGTACCTGTATTTTAAGTCATCATAGTAATGATATTTGACAGCTTTTCCATTCAAATCTTTAGGGAACGGCCAGAATCCATAGAGGTGAATTTCATCACAGAATCTTGTGGCCAATGTATACATGAGGAGACCAGTGCTGGGCCTTTTGATGGGAACTTTGTTTGTCAGCCAGTAACTGAAAAAACAAAAAAATCAGAAGAGAAGAATTTAGAGAAGCACACAGTATATTCTACAGCAAGTATTCTTTTTTCAAGTATCTCAATGAAAAATGTTTCAGCAAACACTGAAAAAAATATTTTAAGCATTTAGAAAATCATGTGCTTTCATTTTATGTTCTTTTCCTAATTATTCTTGCAATAATAAAAAATAGTTTTGGGACTTGGAATGTAGGTAAATATAGCTCTTAAATCCCACATTTTAATAAAATAGTATCAAATTCTTAAAATATACACTATAGAATACTCTCAAAAGGTCTAAATATGATTGTAAAAGCCATAATAATTGGGTACAGATTAAGTAGTCCCCCTAGAAAAAAATTAAAAATTAAAAATTATGCTTATACATATTCAAAATATCAAATATTTCAATTAAAATTCCAAATAAACATTTAAACTCCATTAGACCAGCTGACTTGTTTAGCCTCAGTGGTAAAGAAATCGCAGTGTATTAGAGCAATTTAAGAAATATTATTGCAAACAACATATGAGTAGCAACAAAAAAAATATAATTGTAGAATAACTGATAAATGCTTCACCTCTTAGGGAGTTTAAGATCTTGTTAAATAGGCAAGATGGCTTATAAACAGTTTATAGTGTTCATGTACAAAGCAATGAAATGCTTGAAAATGTTTAGATATAGAACTGTGGCCAAACTGGAGACTTCATAAAGCATGCAGGATATCAGGTGATTCATCAGCTCCAGAACGAAGGGGCTTTCCAACACCCTCAGAGTGTTCATTTCCTTAAAGACAGTGATCTTATGTGAAAACAACTAAAAGGGGAAAGACTTTTCTTTAACTAAAAGGGGAAAGGGGTTTTCTTTAACTTTAAACATCATCTAATTATGAATACCATAACTTTAATAAGATATTTGTTTCATTTTGTTATTGTTATTGTTATTATTATCAGTATCACCTCCTCCTGCCATCCAAATGTAAGGGGAAGATTATATTAGATTCTGCCCACCACCGTGTTTAATGTACTTGATTGTGGATTTTAAGTAGTAGTCATTCTCCTTTCTTTCTTTAAAGCTTTTATCAAGCTTTCCAGAGAGAAATCAAATGGATCTTCAGCATTAAATATAAAAATATTCCAAACCTCTATATGTTATTTTACTTCAATTGCTTATAGAAAGTTTGAATTTTCAACACTTACCAGAAATATCCAAAAGAGGGAAGTTATTTTTAGTCATTACAATTCTCTAATGTAGTGCTTCTTTTTCTCCATCATTCTAACCAGTATTAGCTTTACACATTTTATATTGTTTTATCATTGCACAAATCCCATGAGCTAAGTATAAACTATTCAAAATACATTATGAAACTTTATTTTTACAATTGTTTTGAGAACACTTATTCTCAGTAAAGAAGATTTATAAGGAATTTTCAAGGGAGACCACCTGAAAATTTTCTCATCTAAAAGAGTAAAAATCAGAGGCTTTATATTGCTAAAACACAAATAGAAATTCAACGCAGGGAGCACAGTTAAACTCCAGAAGATAATGACTTGGCTGAAGCTGTCTGAATCCTAAAAAAAAAAGAATTTTTAACATAAAATAATTACTATGAAAACTTTTGTGTGATCTGAGTGTGGTTATAAAGGTTACATGAAGAACCTAGCTAGTTTTAAAATGCATTACTTGTAAATTTTTAAGTTGGGCTAAGTACATTTAAACTCAGTCATAAAATGATTATTACCATCAAGGAATATCAATGATTCTAACTCTGGAAAGATTTTCTAGAAGTCCATGTAACTATATTTGGACATAAATAAATACCAAAGCAACTCTTGTATTCAGGGTGAATTGGTAACTGCAATTCAAGAAGAAAAGCTAAAGGAAAATTTATTAATTTAAATTCTTTGAAACAGTGTCACAGATGTGCAATCAATCAAAAACAATTTTCAGTCCAGAAGGTCTCATAAGATACTACAAACATAAAAATCAGTGAAGTGGTCAGTGATGTTTCAGTAAAATTAAAGTGATTCTAAAGCATCTTGTATGAAAATAAAGAGTAGAGAAGCATTAGAAAATTGGTGTAGTCTTGTTCTAAATAAATTAATCAATACAGTTAACATAGATTAATGAATTTAGCTTTAGAAATACTAGTAGAAGAAGAAAGTAAGTTTTGTAATGTTTGGCTCGCAACAATTAGAATAATTTCAAAAAAAATAAACTATCCACTTGTCACATAGTTTTGGAGAAACAACACAAAATAAATGCCATTTATCCTACTGATTTCTAAAAACGCATCAGTGGAAACAGACTTTAATAAATCACCCTGACATGTACCAGATAAGTAGAAAAAGCCTTAAAGCAGTACAAGATTTGATACCACATGCAATTCAAAATTTCACTTTGTGAAGTTAAGAAACACAAACTGATACAAATACAGTTAGTAAGATCTACCGTAATTCTAATGTCATGCTCCAGATTCTACAAGCCAATCTAAGTTATGGAGATACAGTATTTGACCAGAATCGAAATTCCATCTTAGCAAAAGACAAAGCTGGGTATTCTTTATTTCTGTTAGCATAATCAGTTAAATAACTGATAACTTTACAAACCACCTACCAGAGTAAAATTTTTAAAATCTATCTGAAAACACTCCATTAAATATGGTAACATCTAAAAATTTTAATTCTTTGAACAATCTATCAAAAATATAAAAAATTTTAACTTGTTTTAAAAAATGTCATTAGGAAATTGTGGTGAAAATAGTTCACTGACATTATGTTATGTGAAGTAAGCCAGACTCAGAAAGAAATGTTGAATATTTTGTCTTATGTGGGAGGTGGGGATAGGAAAGTAGAAGGGAAACAATTAGTGAAGAGAAAGAGGGAGGGAGAGGTAAGGGAAAGGAGATTATTGGAGGGGTAGAGATGATCGAAGTATGTTATATGCATTACACATTATTCTGTATAACTACTGTGCATAGAAATAGTGCATTGACAGAATAGTGAACATTTATACTCTAGTGCAATACCTTCTTTTCACATTAAATATATGTGATCTTTTATAGCTTAAATTTAGCAATGTTTTCAATTAGTAAATTTTCTGGCTTCCATGTATGTATTTCTTTTAGGTAAACTGGTTTTTGAAATTATAACATCCATACAGACTTCCTGTAAAAAATATGATGAAAAAGAAAAATGTGAGAAAGAGTTACATTTGCTCTTCCCTATTTGCATAGACCTAACTGGTGTTACAATGTGCATCGTTCGGCTTCTTCAGCTGATTAAGATCTTAATACATATTATAGTCAGTCATAGATGTGTACAGGATATTTGTCACTAAGCTAAGTTTTAATACTGAAAGTATTTCTTTTCACCCCTTCTCTCCCCTCCTCTTTCTCCTTCTTTTCTTCCATATTTTTGCTTTAATAGTATAATACTCTCCTCCTACATGAAACAAAATTTCTAGTTTAAACTGAACATCTATAACATTTTATAAACACAAGATCCTCCATAAAGCTCATTGTTCCCACCATGGAAATTCTACTCTTGCTCACTGAGATGTCTTAACGAATTTTTTTCCCAAAAATTAATCGTGGTTCCTATTTAAAAAAAAAAAAAAAAAAACTTGGAATGCTTCTGGCTATCAAATTGATGTGATGTAGGAGACCTTATTTACAGTTGGAAGTTGTGCTTCACTCTCTTATACACTTGTTGCTTCATTTCTTTGAACTTAGTTAATATTTAACATAGAAGATTGTTGTAATGTAAAAAAGATAGAAACATATGAACAAATACAGTAAAATACTTGACACAGTTATTAATGGATGCTCAACATGTTCTAAAACAGTGCTTTTTCACCCCATACACAACTCCCACTTTTCCTTTCAGCCATCTCTTTTAGAGCTACATGTTGACTAGACATTGTGATCATGTCATTTAACTTCAGTGAATGCGCTTCCTTGGTTGAGAAACACAAACATTTGATTCTAAGGCTTGGAGTTTCCTCTACCTATGAAACTCTTACTGTGGTTTACAATCTCTTTACAAGAAACCTTGACCTGTGTCCTGATTTCACCTCATTGTTCTACTCCTTTCCCTTCTTTCAGATTGTAATACAATGCAAAGCAAAGAATGTACTTAATTTTTTTTCCTTATTTTAAAGCCAGTAATAATTTAGTGTTTGTCTAATCATAAAATCGGTAATGATCATCTGAGAGGTTCAAGTTCCTGATGATTTCAAGCCACCAAAATTTGGAAAGAAAAGCAGAAAATTGTATACTTTACAACTGAATATACTTATGAGAATTTATACCCAATATATCGGCAGATAAGGAATATTATTTTGTATTTATTTCAAAGAGGTCTAAAAGTTCAGCAATAACACAAATCTTTCCCTTTAATATCTTCTTTTTCTTCCAAAAGATGAATTAGGGCAAATTCTAAAAAAATTTTACATAGTCAATGGAATCTCACTGTGGCAAATGCTGTAATTTAATGCTATATTACAAGCAAAGTTTCCTTTTATGAACCTAGAAATTCATCTATTTAGGCAGTGTGATGATGGCGGAGATACAGTTCATGTTTGTACTCTTAATTCACAGGAGTCTCCTCTATCTCTATTTCTTCTCTTATATTTATTTTCTCATGGCTGAGCTTTGCATCTGTTACTGCAGTGGTGAACTATATGGCTCCTCGCCCTAGGACATGGACTATAATCTGATAATTTTTTTCCTAAAGAATTAACTTCCTACCATTCATCTTTGCTGTAGGTATCTGCATCTCCATTCTCCAGAATCTGACAGAGGCCATCCATGATGACATTACATCACAACTTAAAGCATAGAGGACCAGAGAGTTAGCTCAGTGGTGATGCCACCTTTTTTATATATTTGGTATATATAATTTTTATATATGAATATAATTTATATTTATAGTATATAATTTATATATAATATAATATACAATATATATGGCATAGAGAAATAATCAGAAATTGAAATAC